CTGTGATATCAATGGTTTCCCCTTCATTCATATGATTAGTTGAACTTGAGCTTGGCTGATTGCCTCTTCTCGCCCGAGGCTTTTGACCAGAGCTGACGGATTTCAGTTGAAGTTGGTTCTTAGCAGACCACCGCAAGCTCAAGGTATAGCCAGGGCATGAGGAGCCTGCATCCTCGCATCGTTTGCACCCCGGCCTTCTTTGATCGCATTTTACCTGGTGTAAAGGTTAGGCTCTACTCCCAATCAATTGTGCTATACATACCCTCTTTTCTTTACACTTTGAACATCCGTGGCGGGATTTGGTATAAGTTGGTCGGTATGGAGAATTCATTATGAGTGGCACGGCCAATGATGTTAGTCTTTGATCACTGCAGCCAGGATTAAATGCGATGCCGCAGCTGAACGGATTCACAGAGATACTGAATGGCCGTTATCGCGACAGGGAGGACAGACCGGGTGGGGTAGGATGCCTGAGGTATCTGGCTAGTTTAGAGCCTCCAGTGCGGCCTTATCGCTAGTGAGTTGGCTAGCATGACACTGGACTGTAACTGAATCGCTTCATCTTATATTGTGGCAATCAATATTGCTTCACCAGTCTTTAGTCAAAGATATGAAGAGATGCGGACTACCTGCACATCGGTCATTGTGAGGATTGATAGATGATGAGGACCCGATGCGCTATTGCACAAAGCTTCACCTCAAGCAACTGCAACAGGCATGTAGACGGTCGGCTCTCAAGCGCCTTTCTTGAAACTCTTAAGGTGTCATGCATTGGCAATTGAGGTTGAGGTGCGCTGAAGCTGTGCTAGAACTTCGTCTTCCAATGCAGGTAGACACCTACATAACGAGCAATTCCCAACCCGCACAAGTTCTCGCAGAGGATCTTTGGAAACGTAAACGCACAACTATTGTTGTTCCTTTTATTCCCTGCCAAGTTAATCATCTAACCATTTGTATCGAGGTCAGCATTATGTAAAACTCCGAAGCTGAAGCGTTGTGCTAGTTGTCTGGATTATTAATCAAACGAATGGAGTAGTCATACGACCTTCAAGACAAGACGGTCAATCGGTTACAAGTTTGCCGACAACAGTAATAGGAATGAGGAAATATCAAGCAAGGAAATATTGCGCGGTAGGGCGTCACACGCCCAGCACTTTGGACCCACGTCGGGGGCTATAACCGCCGACCGCCGATGCTGAGACCATTCAAAAAGACAGCAGCTTTCAACAACCGCTGGTGATCTCAAGCTAATAATCTCATAGAATTTCATTGCAATTAAATCTACGTTTCAGAAATCTTCAAATGATGGCAACCTTTTACGAAGTCTCTTTCGCAGGGGCAGTCCTACTGTCTAGCCTCATCACCATGTCCTGCTTCAAGCCACCTAACGAGGTTCCACGCGACGGCTGGAAGCAAGACAGTCTCGGAACATACGCCAGTCCAACAGCAGCACGAATCCGACGAATTCTTGCTGTCAGCGTCGGTATTTTCCACGCCCTCATCGCTATAGGCTACGGTGATTCCAGCCTCGTATGTCCTCATCCGGAGAACATAAACTCGGAGCTGTTCAGCTGGAATTCATACACACTGGCTTGTCTCTCGATGATCATTCTCATCGGCGGACCACTTCGGCTCACGGCCTTTGCTCAACTTGGAAAGAACTTCACTTTCCAACTTGGACCACCTGACACTTTGATGACGGATGGTATTTATCGATATATCCAACATCCTGGCTACACGGGACAAATTGTGGTCTTGGTCGTCAACCTCGCCCTGTTCTTGCGCTGGGACGGCGCATTCGGTTGCTGGATTCCTCATGGCTTTCGATCGACAATCAGCGGCTGGGGCCTGATATTTTGCTTGGTTCTCGTGTTTGGAATTCTGCGAAGGCTTATGATGAGGGTGAAGGACGAGGAGAAAATGTTGAAGGAAACATTTGGAGAGAAATGGGTTGCATGGAGTCGGGTCACTGCGCGCTTCATCCCAGGCGTCGTTTAAATGGTACTGACTCTAAGACGGAAGTTCAAGTAAAAACCCAAATGTGACCTTGTAGTTGGGAAGCAGGAGAGTGTATATGTTGAAATGTTGAGTTGTTGGTAACCTATATGCGTTGTATCGTTGTTGAGGGCAATTACTTCATTTGTATATCCAAAAGAATGCGCCGAAATCATAAGTGAAACAGAGATATTTTTAGCAATTGATTACCGTCAATTTCAAGCTTAATTAAATTCATGATTGCGAGGACAGTCGAGTAGTCGTTTTCTGTTCCATCGGCGAGTCATGTTCACTTCAACAAGGGTAAATCACGCAGCAGCAGGGCGTAACACAAACGAAGTCAGCATGTCCCATACCGGGTTTGTAATTGCTCCGAGTCCAATGAGCTTCAATTTCTCCCAGCTGTCAATCCAATGGAGTTAGTCCAGCCTAACTGGGAAAACGAGGCATACTGACCGGCAATGTCGGCACGGAACGGCATCAGTGGGGCACTACCGTCCAAGTATAAGTGCTCAGCTGAAATATTTGACTCACTGTGAGATTTTCTCGTCTAATATTGTGAAGATCTATGTGAGAAGATGGGTCGACTAACTAAGTTTCTGTCCGATGCGGAGAAAGCAGTGAGGCAAGCTGGGAGAGATCTGCAACAACAGCAACAGCCTGCTGGGTACCCACCACCCCAGCAGCAGCAGACTCAGCAGTATCGCAACTCTCCCGGATATCCGGCGCCATATCAACCGCAGCAACAGTACTACCAGACTTACCCTCCTCCAGCAGTGCAGCCCCAGGCAGAACTCCAGGGTTCACCTGTAGCCTCTCCGCCGCCGCAGCAGCAGCAGTATCATCAGCAACAACAATATCCTTATCAAGCTCAACAGCCTCCCCAAGGACTGCCAACGAGCGGAAGCGCTCCTGTACCTCAACATGTCGAAGCTTCAGCCAGCCAGGCTGTGTCCAATAGCGGTGGTCCCAGCACTCCTATGCCATTGGGAATCCAGCCCGTAACTGAATGCATTGACATGCCATTCACACTGCCGACCTACTGGTTTATCCACAGTTCCTACCCAGACTTTGCCATTTGCAGTCGTTGCTACGCAGACCACATTCTCAACTCACCGTTTCGAGACACGTTTACACCGGTATGGCACGATGACGGATTAGAACGACAGTGTCTGTTTGGAACACCCCGCGTCAAAGACTATCTTTGGCCAGCTGCTCTCTCGTCAATAAGCCTCGACAACATGATGAGCTTCATGGCCACGAGGCCTACTCTGGGTCGTTGTCCAGAGGATAAGTCAGTCGAGGGTCAAGAGTGGTACTCCCCACCAGATCGACCGGAGATGGCAATTTGCAAACCATGCTATGAAGACTATTTCAAGCATACTTCATTCGGCAACAGGTTCAGTACACATAAGCCTCAAGGTGCGGCAAGTTGTGATCATAATCTATGGTACATCCGCCGAATGCTCAAGCTCTATTCTCCCAACAACAACTGGACGGCGTTCACCACAGGATTCTACAAAAGACTGCAACTTCCGCCGTGTCCCAAAGCACAGCCTGTTGCAGGCCCCGAGAGGACTTGGTTCATGTCCTCAAGGGCCCCAGCCAACTTCTCGGTCTGCGAAGCCTGCTACTGGGATTACTTCCATGAGTCTACCGAAAGTCAGTCTTTCCGCACAGCTCGTCTTGGGCCTTCACAGCAGGCATCATGCGACATGGCACAGGCCAACATACTTATCCCGATCATCCGGGCTGTTGATAAGGATAACTACCCCAGATTCTGGAGCACTCTTCAAAGCCTCTCACACCACCCGCCTTGTAATCCTCAGGGTGCAAGTGGAATTCGCTGGTATACGCTTCCGAGTGATCCTCCAGAATTCGATGTTTGCGCGACGTGTATGGCGGGCACTATAGCTAGCATGAACGCGACTCACTTCTTCAAAGTCAAAAATTCTGTTGGGCCATCTGAGGCCCGTCTCTGTTCATTCAACCTGCCAGGATATCCGCGTGGAGTCCTCTTCTTGCAGAGGTTCGCTGAGGCAGCCTACATCAACGATTGGCGACCACTCAGCGAATTGGCAGTCGACCTGAGTACCGCACCAGGATGTCCCAAGATCAACCTCGATTTAGCGAAGAATCGTCGGTGGTGGGGTTGGGATAATGCCCATATATGTCAAGAATGTTACGTCGTCGTGGCGAAGGGTACGAAGCTGGAGAAACACTTCACTATGAAGGGAAACCAAGTCGCTGAGTCCCGACTCTGTGATCTCTACTCCCCTCGCATGCGGCAACTCTACAAGAACGCCTGTAAGACCCAAGACCTCACGTCTTTCCTATCGTTCGCTCGTCAACGTCGCGAGATCTACCTCCGGACAGTCCCCGAAATGAATCGGATGCTGGCAGCGGCCAAACACGCTCTCAGCCAGGCTCAAACACTTGGTCTCGCAGCTGTGACATTTAGCGCAGCAGGAAACCTGAACGCAACAAACTTTTATTATGATCATACGGTGGGAAACTCGACGGTTGGGCATGGATATCAGAATGAGCAGTTGTTGCAGGCGGCGATGGCTGATCACTCGATGCAGCAGGTCGGAGCTGCTGCTACGGGTCCAGCGGCTGTGGCGAGGGTTGGAGTTTTGGAGAGGATGTGGAAGCAGGTTGAATAGAAGTATATCAGTGCGTGTTGTAAATGCAGAGAGAAGTTGTCAAATTGCTTGTTAGCTGAAGACAATCGTGTAGTGGCACGTGACCTCATTAGGCATCGGTTCATCTTTCGTCTCAAGACAAACCAACAATCAACAAACTCCTGCCTCACCTTGCTCAATCAATCTCCACCCACTCACTAATTACTATTCAGTACTGCACTATCCATCTATTTTTTTATGCGGTGATCATAGGCTCCCAGTCACAAATTACGACTTTGTACAAGCAACAAACATGTACCGTTCCGAAGAATTCTCCCCGCATCTACCGATCGTGTAACGTTGAGCAACCCTCCATTCGTCATGAATTCCACCACCGATCCAAAATGCGAGGAGGCTTTCTCTCTTATTAGGAGCCAAAATCTGCCCCATCCACTTGGGAAATTACTCAGTTCCTTCATCGCAAATGCGTTGAACCCTGCACTCGCTGCCGCCCATGTCTTCAGCCATTGCCGTCCGGGTCAACACCGCAAGGCTGATCTTCATGCCCTTATTTCAGACTGGGAATTCGTCCTAGAATCAAGTGAGTTTGCCTGGATGTCAATGCAACACCCTGGCTCTGACCATCATAGTCACAAAATACGGGACTACACCACCTGCCCCCGACAGCAGAACCCAAGCTCAAATTATGAGGAGAGATGGAAACCGCTGCTGCATCACAGGCAAGCCAGGAAGCTTAAAGGACCCCTTGGTAGTAATGCCTATGATTCTCGCGCCATCCCGCTGGCTTGAAGCCGAGGTACACGGGATGATCTTCCTACCAAGCTTGGCCATGGCTGACACGTTGACTAGCCGAGAGTCCACGAAATGCTTCGAGCCTTCTTTGGTCCCCCTTACCTAGATTGGTGGATAGCTTATACAGAACGATTGACGCGGGTAGATCCCATCGATGGCCACTGGCTTGTGCGCAGGTCAGCTGCCGAAGCTTACAGAAATGGGGTGGTGAAATTGTATCGGCTACACCCATCAATGATCGAAGTAAGTCATATCATTAGTCTGGCTCTCCTTTATTAACACATCTCAGTACAGGGTTGCTTGGTGTCTAATTGGGACCGTAGAACCAGCGATTGATGTCGATGGCCAATATCCCCTTCTCGGAGACCACTCACGCTCGGGAATACGCAAGGTCGACGCACGTTTCATTGGGACCCAGGCCCGCTTGGCTCCGAGCATGCGATGGCTTGAGGTCAAGAAGCAAATCGCGGACAACGAAACAGCGATACCTCAGGCGGGGATACAACCTTCAGCTTCCAGACCAGGTTTCGTATCAGCTGTATTCCAGATATGCTGTACAATCATCTTGACAGCTTGGCTTGCCACCCCCCATTTCATTCGATTATCGACATACAAAGTATTGCGAAGGATCGGACACCATCTTTATGGAAATACAAGTTCCTTGGCAGTTAGCCGTCTGCCTTTCGGTCTTTACCTGAAGGCCACAAACGAAGGGGCTTTCAATGAATACAATGCGCTCGGACTTGTTCACAAGTATACGTCTATTCCAGTTCCTCGGGTTCTGGATCTGGTAGCAGACTCACAAAACACGTATCTCTTGATGACCGGTCTTCTTGGTGAGCCACTCTCCAGAGCAATGGATATGCTCTCCGATCAAGACTGCCACGAGTTCGTCTACCAAATGAAAAGCTTCATTTCCCAAATCCGAGAAATCCCTCCAGTCGGTCCCAAAAACCACATATGCAATACTCTGGGCGAAGCATGCAGCGACCCAAGAATTCGAGACGGCAACCCCATCGGCCCCTTCGAAGACGAAGCTTCTTTCAGTCAATATCTTCGCCATCCAGATGATCCTGCTCGAAGAGGTCATCAAATTGTATTTACCCATGCTGACTTAAATCTGCGAAACATCCTTGTGGATAAAGTCACAAGGCTAGATGGGACAAGGGGCTGGGCGATCTCAGGGATCGTTGATTGGGAAAACAGTGGGTTTTATCCCGAATACTGGGACTGTACAAAAGCGCAGTTTGAGGGATTCAGGTGGGACGAACGCTGGACTAGGGCTTTGGTCGATGTATTCAGTCCATTCGGAAGTTATGCGAAGGAGATTGAAGTTGAGAAGAGGAGCTGGAGTGAAGGCGATGGCGCGTTTTGAGATACCCATCGCTTTTGGGGCAACGCTTGGATAGTATAATAGCAAGTTTGCTTTCAGTCCTGATTTCAGAATTCAACTGCGTCTTATCAGGTTCCATTGAGGGCCCTATCATTCTACAGCACTAAAACCGTAGATATATGCCTTACACGACATGCTGATCACGACGGTCTCGTTGCGTGGCGATTATTGAACCACCAAGAAGTCGCAGGTCATAGAGGCAATGGCGAAACAAGACAAGCCATTCCGAACTGATTTGGTAAGAGTATTATTTTGAGTTAAGAGACCGCATAGCTGATGCTCATATCACGCACCTTACGTTTAAACATATTCTAACTATAAACGAGCTGCCACTCCTTATTATTACTTTTATATTATAACCGTAAGGGCTCAAGATAGATTTAGCGTCTTTAGTATTAATTAACTTATATCTACTACTATATCTCAAACCCTAATTGCAATTGCGGTTACAGTCCCGTTCTCTATCTCGGTCCCTGCCACTTTCCTGATCCTTATCCTTCTCTCTTTCTTGATATCAGTCGCGATCGCGTCGGTCTCTACCCCGGTATCGATCTTTGCTATCCTTTTCTTTGCGATCTTTATCACTACGATCTCTGTCCTTTTCCTGGGGGCGGTCACGGCTGTAGTCTCCATCCTGATATCGATGTTTGCGATCCTTGTCACTACGATCTCTGTCCTTTTCCCGATGCCGGTTTGGGGCAAATACAGGTCTGGGATGCCCTTAGATATTCTTGATCGCACGCGCGTGACACTGATGGAGCCAGCGAGTATTTCCTTGCCCGAAAGGTCCGGGTAATCTTGTTAAACTCTGTCGTCCTTGGGATATAGCATTATTTGCGACCCTTATATTTCTAGCAGTTGATAATCTTTTCAGTTGACGTTGAGGTTTCGAAGGCTTTCGAGTTTTGGCTCGGCTTACTATGCCTTCGAGCGAAGTTTGAAGCCCAAAACTTTCGATCTTGATAGCCGATAGTGCTTAGGTATGAGTAAACATATGGCTATCGTCTCTACCTAGGGTATCGGCGGTGCATTAGCATGGAGAGAGCTTCATATAGCTCTTGTGAACTTACTTTTGATATCACTGGAGCCAGAGACCTTGAAGTTGGCGCCCATAATCACTGCGGGAGAATGCTGGCCTTTGAATGTTTCCCTCTTCCTTCCTTCGTAAGTCTTTGAGCTGGAGCTGAAGGTGGGCTGATGGGTTGGTCAAAAGAGTCAAGGCCTCGATCGTGATACTGCCAAGTAGATGCCTGGAAAGCCTGCCACCGGTCATGGCGTCGATGCGATTCGAGAGCGGGGCCTGTAGGGCACATATAAGGATTCCTTAAGATCTAAGAAGAAGGATTGAAATCATGGTGCACAAGAGACTCGGCGATGTGACCAAGGGAGGGTAAAGAACCACAAGAGGTGCTTTCATCTCTAACGAAGGCCGCTACAGACTTCCAAATGAGATCCATTTGCCAAGAAGTCCACAGAATATTCCTCGTGTATGATAATGAAACAGTCCACGCATGAAAAGAGCTTTTGGCTGAGTTACTCGTGACGTCGTCGATCCCCCGGCTTAGCTCTATGCTGTGACACTGTGGTACCGGCCTTAGGAGGACATGAGACCTTGAACGTTCTCACCATCTCCACTGGATCAGTACCGCCTAGTGAAATGAATCTTTCTGACATTGCCCATAAAACGAATTCGAAGTTGTTCGATCCGAGGCGCCCGATACCGACCCAGACCATATCGGAAAAGATTGTGCATCACCGCTGATTGGCTCTCCGATCTCGCTCATTGAACTGGAACCCCTGTCACTTCCTCTATCGATGATCGCATCTGCCCAAGGATCTGGACCCTCAGTTGGCACTTCTTCCTGTAAAGCTCGAAGGGTTACACGATAGAGCTTGATCGGCGTACACGGTGCCAACTAGAGTACTAGATCTGAACAATTTGACCTTCAGTTTCACCATTGGCAAAGAACCACTGCACTGCACACCTCTCGTATGTACCACGGATCGGCAACACATCGTCCTCCACTGAAGCTATTGCGCGAGACACCTGAACCGTGCAGGATACGTCGAGATCCAGATCATCGTAAGTGACATGTGATGTCGATATAAGCGTCAGAGTTATTGATTGACTCCAACTGTCAGCAGTTTCAGAGTTTGTCGCCATGGCATGGTTGTTGAAGTCGTCAAGGACGTTGGCTCCTCTTAGCGTTTCGGGTACTCTGCGGCTCCAGGGACCTGACTCAGTGCAACGCCCGCCAATAAGAGCTCATGAAGGCTAATTAGTGCTCTGTGGCGGGTGAGAGATCACAAGCTTAGGCCAGGCATGAATCTAAGCAAGGAAAGTGATGAGTATACATTCATGATCTTGGGAAAGTTTAGGATGAGTTTAGTAGATCTGTAAACCAAATACCGGTAATTCCTTTTTTATCGTGGTTTAGCTAGTGCTTTTGATCATTTTAAACGCATTACCATATAAACATCATCGATAGCTACCTGGACGTAAGAGATGATACCTGTCGAGAGGCAGGGACCTTCTGCATGTGGTTGCAACTCTTGCTGCCCACAAGACGAGCATGTTGCTGTTTATCAGAAATGGTCGGTAATCACTCCTACTACAAGCCTCATTGCTTTAAGAAAAGCAGAACGGTCGCGGGTCAACATCTCATTGGATTGGCATGCCTCGCTCAGCTTCAATGAATTACGTAGTGTTTCATATTGAGGCGTTTGATGGGCCTAGTACGGGTATCAGCATGATATGAGATGGCTGCTTTTTGCGCCTGGGCTGAGGAGGGATCATAATCACTACAAAAGGCAGCGAGACAAGTGAGTATATCTGTGTCAGAGCATTATCCTAGGAAAACGCTTCGAAGACTGACTGATACGATGCATTTGGCACAGCTGGGCAGGAGCACAGGCTGCCTGTGGGGTCATCTGAATGCAGCCATCAGTAGGAAGTCATTGAGGTAATGGTAACTTACTGTAGCTTAGATAAGTCTATAGTAACTTATTATAACTTAGTTTTATATAATTATTTAAGAGATTAATAAGATTAATAAATTATTTATAAATTTATATTAAGTTAAATAAAGATTTTATTTATTTTCTTTCTAATTTCCTAAATTTATAGAATCCTTAGACTATTCATCCTAAGTCCATGCTGCCTTAGGTACCGAGTTACCAGGGTTCCTCCTGCCCTTGCTCTTGCATCTCACTCCCACAGCCTCGCAGCCTCGACGCGTCCTACCTAGGTACCTTTCTTACCTTATAGCGCCGTTCTCTGTTCTTCTTTTTTATTCTCAAGACTCCCGATCCCCTTTCCTGTCATAAGTAATCACCACAATGTCTTTCGAAGCGCCACCTGTGCCTGCCCCTCAGAGCGAACAACACCCCAAGCGCACCAACGAGCTCTTTGCTATCTTTTACGACGAAATCGGGAAATGGCCCTGGGAGGTCATCGACTTCGGCCCCCGAAAATGGGGCCAGAATCTCGTCTCGGACTTCACGAGACTTCTGAGCGTTGACCTTCCTAAGACTGACAATGTGTCACTGAAGGAACTTATCGACTACTTGCATGACAACTCTGCAAATCACCCACTGGTGCAGTACCAATACCAGTTGAACAAGATGCTCGTCGCAAAAGCAACCAAGTGGTTGGCAGAGAAGCGTGAGCTCGTTGACGACCCCGATTCCGATGCCGACTCTGACGGCTCTATCCTCAACGAACCTCAAAACGTCACCCGGCACAGAAGGCAGGCCCGGGCTCTTCGAGCAGCTACAAGATCCGCGCGTGAGCTTTTTCTTTTTTCTCCTTTTCTTTTTTTTCAGAAGAATGATTTTAGGCTAACAAGGCTAGCAATTCGGACCGCTCGCAAGCGTCCGATCAACTACAGTGATCGTCACCATTTCCAACTCCATAATACTGACGATTCTGAAAGTGACGACGATGGAGATGGAGGAAACGAGGAAACCCAGGAAGATGTTGAGCTCGAGTCAGCCGAGCCTGCGGCCAAGCGAAGGCTAATGGTCTTCTTCAACTTTTCACCGGAGAACATCCAGGAGCTATCTAAGGTCATGGTAGGAGCCCGCCGCTCCATTATCTTTTGCAACAGATCTAACGAGTCGAAATAGGGACCTAGCGGCGGCAACGGTCACGGCGATGCACCGCGACACTGGATTGCACAGCGAAATGCAGCAGGAGAAAATCGCCCTCTCGATACACCTGTAAGTTTACAATATAAGAGGCACCGACTAGTCTAATTGAACCGTATAGAATGAAGTTCGGCGTGCCTATGCCGACCATCTCAAGCGCGAGATCACCAAAGTGGACGAGGACATTACCCGCATAGAAGCTAATATCAATAACTCGTCCCGGCACCGTTTAGGCTATCTCGAAACCGTCCGCAACAGCGCCGAGGCTCTCGAAAAGGCCACGAAAGAAGCCACCGAGGCTTCACAAGTGGTCCAGCACGCAAGAGCGCTCTGCGAAGCCGACGCTCAGGTCGTCGAGGAATTGCGCCGTATAAGCAGTGATAACCCAAGAATTCTCACCGAAGAAAACTTCCAGCACTTCAAAGACAATACCCCTGCACAGAAAGAGAGGAGAGATGCTGAGAGTACACTACGCGCCAAGGAAAAGCGTCTAAACGATGTCAAGACCAAGCTTCAAATCGCAGAGGCCAATGTGGACCCATTGAACAGCAAGATCGAGGAATTATTTGACGTACTGAACGCGAAGCAGAATGTGCGTCGAAGCCTCGTGGCGATGCATCGGCTTGTGGGAATGGGCGGGGACGAAATGGAAGAGATATTGGGAGAGAATGGTCTTGAGGAGTGGCTGAGGGAGCAACAGGTCTGAGAAGATGTCTTTGTGGTGAATTGTCGTGAGTGTTGGGTTAGATGTACATGAGCTTTTGAAACTTTGAGAGTGGGAGGAATGGGGTAGGGGTAATGGAGGAAAAAAGACTCGGTCCCTCCATCCTAAA